TTGCTCAACCCATCATGATTGACTCATCGAGCCTTCGGGTGTCCAATTCTCGTATCGCATCGCCCTAGACATTGTACCATTATTTATGTTCAGTTCGCTTTGCCTAGGAGATGTTGGACTGATAATGTATCGCACCTTGGTGTTAGAGGTTTTGTGGGCCCGTCAGGGCTTGTCTGGTGCGTGGACGGGTCGTCTGGTGCGTGGACGGGTCATCTGGTGCACGCTGGTATGGTCTGGTGTGCTGGCAAATTCTATTAGGTTGCCTGGGTATGTGTTGGTGCTGGCTGAGGGTCACCGAGTCGAGCGCCATGCTGCGTCGCGTGACAAAGTCTCTGGTGGCATTGGCATGGGCACCTAAGGCACGCGCGGCCATCTCACCCTTCGACAACGTTGCAAGGGGACTGCGGGAGTTGTCGGGATTGTTGCACTACTGAGGGTGTTTGTCTCGCATGTAGCGTGATGCCTGTGAGAAATTTATACACTAGCCCACACACCAGCGTGTTTGCGCTTAGCGTCGCAGCCTGTCTACAGCCTATCTGTCTGCTTCTGCTGGGTCTGCGGGCAGCCTGCCTCGGCCGCCAGTCCACCATCTGTCGTCTGCTCTTAGAAGGTGAAAGGCGCATCGTGGCATGTCTCCGGTCATCGTGCAATATATATATAAATATATATATATATATATATATTGCATTTTGTCTCGTCGATTTACCTTGAATTTTCTATTGTATCGTCCGAAATTTTTTCCTATCGTCGTGGTGAGAAATGATGTCGGAGATCTCTCGAGTGGGATTCTTGAGAGAGTTGGGCGTGTTATGTGTGTAAGACTCTTCTAAATCATAGGAGATGTGGTGTATTTATAGACTATAATAGGGACGCTAAGGAGGTGAAAAAAATTTGAATAATATTTTTTTACGAAACGATATAGAATATTATAAATAAAAAACGCACAAATGTGCAAAGTACACAACCCCTATCTGAATAGTACATCGAACAACTAAAAACTGGTAGGACATATCATAAGACCGCCTAAAGCCAGGCTAGCAACGCTAGAAAACAAACTCAAAACAACACAACACAAAGACCAACCTAAGACGATCCCCAACAGAGGAATGGGGGATGACACCCAACGGAGTAATGTGGAACGACCCCCAACAGAGTAATGCCCGCTCATACTCGGGCTCACATGGCCAACGACCCAAACAAAAAACACAGACCTAAACAACACAAAACAACCAACACAGAAACTAACTAAGACATACCCACTCACCGATACAAAACTACGAAAACAATGATAACTACAATAGAAAAGAGCCCTTCCACAGCAAATCTATCGAACGAACAGTTGACTCTAAGGAAACATCCGCAGCCCGAAAAACCGTCGAAACTGCCGAAAGGCCTATTTAAAGCATAAACCTATGCCCTAAACCAACCTTTGACCAGACCCTCCCCTTCGCAGGAAGCCAAAGAAACCCAAATCTCAACCCACAATACCTCTGCCCCGAACTGGCTAACACCACTAGCCAAAATCGGTAGCACCTGTCTCCCCCAGACTAAACACCAGAGACATAGAAAATAGGGGATTGAAAGGGTACCTCAACTTGCACGAAGCACCAGCGGCCAACCGGCCATCCACATTAGAGAAGAACTCAGTCCCAGATGACGACTCTCGAAACTGCCAACGAAGGCTTAGCGGAAACTTCGTCCAAAAACTTCAACCCACTCTAACAGGACAACCCTCCACTCGACCAGAGAAGCAACAGACTTCCCACACCCACCACCACCGCTAGCTAGAACGCGACCAACACTACTAGCCTAATCCAACTGTTTCGTTGACCCCCTGAACTCAACCCCAGGAGTAACAAAGGGAAAAAGGGCGGGGAAGACGCCACTCCTCAGTCTCGACTGCCCCGACACTGACATCGCAAGCAGTCCGTGTCAGACCCAGCCCTAACGATACACCCCACCCATCGTTCCCACAACACCAAGGAATCTGACTAAAAATAACAGGAAAAGTTACCTGCAAATGGCAGAGCCCTCGTCGACTCCATCTTCATCCCCCAAAGCATTGCAGGCTAGGAGAGGCAAAAAATTGGGACCAGACCGTCAGCAAAGAGCCGATCACCGGCGAGGGGTTCGGCAACCCACTGAAAAAGGTAACTAATATGGATGAGGAAGAAGGATTCGAGCGGCGAAATTAGGGTTGACAAGCGGCGAGATTTTTTGGGTAAAGAAGTTGTATTTGCGTATTTGAATAATATTCAAATCCACTAAAGAAATATTACACTCCCCATTTAGCGCCAAAATTACATTTGAGTCTCTAATAATAATTACCCGATGACCTCTTCGTATTTAATATATAATGTACATCAATCAATTTAATTACTGAAAATGTAATTAATTGATTATTTGAAGTGAGACTAGTACCACTTAAATCATTATTTTTATGTTGGAATTAAATCCACCGGCCAAGCTTGACACAATAATCCTTCTTGAGCTCATCTCGGGGACATATCAAACTGAGGCACACGGTGACCGTAAATAATTTCAACAAAACAACATACACACAATTCTACTACCCAAAACACGTCAGATTATTGACACAACAGAATGAATCTCACTCTTAGTGAATCAAATTAGTAGCAACTGAGTGCACGTGCCTGTTTATTACCTTACGAGTTAAGAGAATGCAATAATTAATCGAGACTTAGTTCGTTTACTTGATCACTATAAAACAAACTTATCCTCTCTGGGATTTGTTCAATACATCTGAGTTGTACTAGTGTATTTCATTAGACAAGATCAACCGACCCAAACTACACTATAACCTTTCGCGATGGGTTGTTCAATTTCATCTAGGTTATGAACTAATTATTTATGTTTTACAAGTTACCAATAATATGATATTATGTCCATCGTGATGAACCATTCCAAATGTAAAACATCATAACGTAGAACTACATAATTAAATATGGTAGTCATTCAAACAGAATTAGCATTAACAAAAAGTCAAACTTTCAGCTTCCACACTAAGAGGAACAACAACCACGGCGGAACTCAGACATGCAGTATATTGACAAACACTAAATAAATACTTGTACTTACTCATCGGCACGATTGAGTTTGTGGTTGCTGAAGAAGACTGCAGTGATCGACAGAGAGGTTGCAGCAACGAAGAATCATGCTTTTTTTTTTGTACAAATCGTATATATAATAAGTATTTTAGCAACAACCAAAAAAGAGGGAAAAAAAAGAGGGATGAACATATTTGTAAGGCGATAACAAAGAAGGTTAAGAGGAAATTCGAGCTCAGTCGTACAATACAGGTCGATACGGACGATCAAGCTTGAAAGTTGAGAAGGTAAAGGATGGTCGAGTAGAATCGTTGGATCAAAGGCAAAGTTGATGGACGAGATTAAAAAGGGGACTTGAAAAGACATGTAGGTTCAGACCATTGGATGAAGACACAATCAAGTGGATGGAAATAAAGAAAGTTAATCGACAAGCTGTTTGATAACGGAACAACACATGAAGCGGACACGTCGGTTGGTGGTTGATCAGAATGACCTGATAAGGTGTCAGAAATTCAAATTTTGAATTTTAAATCCAAAATCTTCTTGATTAGGTCGATGGAATTACTATCGTAAAATAGAGGAAGTGAGCCAGGAGGCCGATTAAATAGACTATGAGCTTAATAGACATGACTAAAGGCAGTTGACTTTACTCTTAGATCGAATTATCCCAATTCGGCCAGAGTGGGGGGTAACCACATGATATGGGATACCATATTGGGTTGACTCGGTACGAGAAGTGATTTAACCAAATAAGGTTAACCAGAATGTCGATTAATGGAGGTCGGAGACACTAAAGGTCGGCGAGGCATTAGGTCGATCTGGTGACTCTGTTGGTAAGGAAGCTTGTCGACAGGTCGAGCTAGGGTCCTCAAATGGCCTTGTAGAAACTCAACCTGGAGTTATGCAGGTCGACCTGACGGATAGAGTGCACGAGTACAATGAAGAGGAAATCTAGCTCAAAAAAGGTAGAACTGGTCGTATGATTAGACCGTGTATCTAGACAGACTAATGGATATGAAGGAATATAACAAGGATAAGAACCACACGTGGGCTAACAAACGGTCAATACAAACGGGTAGCTCGGGTATTCGGGCAGTCCATCCGTGCAGTCTTGGGCAATAAGGTAACACCCATATATAAAAAGGTGAGGTATGATCATCCAACCTCTACACACTATTTCATACTTACAAACTATACTGCTATTGTTCATCATATTCTTCATACACTTGCTGACTTGATCGTAGAAGGCTCTACACCGAGACCACTTACGGCGCTGTTATGCAACTCTTTAAACCGAACATGAGCGGATCCAAGATCGTTCAAGCTGGTCGGGATTGTTTTGCGCACCAGGGATAGAACTCGTTGAAAGATTGAGGGGTCTACTTATTATGTTGATTTGATGTGTTTGTGAAATACAATATGATTACATAATTACACCTAGTGTTTGGTTGAATTTTTCTGATCCCTTCCCCTTTGAATCAATGTTTCACTTGAATCATGCATGCTTGATCCTTTCAATAATTCTATTGCACTTTCTATATTTACTACTTCTCTATAGCATCCAAAAATCACACATCCGACCAAAATGATCTTTTTCTACAAACACCAGCCAAACAAATTATACAACTCTCGCAATTTAAAATATTACACAACACTAATGGCAGTCTCTACGTAAAACTCCCCTCACCAGACACCACTGTATCATGTTTCTGATCCATTTATTTTTATATTCCCATATATGTATATATATCTTTATTTATTTTACAATATCAAGCTCCATACCTACACAAATTTAGTTTAATTTCCTACTCCATCTGATAAGTAGAGACCACCATATATAAGATCTTAATTAAAAAAAAAAAAAAAAAACACATTCATGCATGAAGCATGAAAAAAAGAGCAGTCTACCGAGATAGTTTATACAAATGCAGGTCAGGAGGCTTGTGGGGCCCACGACGAGCGAGCCATATGTTCCTCGTCGGTGAGCGCGTGTCGGAAATGGCATCGGTGACCGTAAGGGCAGGGGACTCCGCCGAGCACCATGCGGCAGACCTCGGTCTTGTAGCGCGCGTGGCGGAGGACCGGGCGGAGCTCCACTATGCCGTGTGCGAATTTACAGTTTTGCCCGTAGGGACAGGTCCCCGTTTGCTGCCACTTGTTGCAGAGTTCGGTCTTAAGCATGCCCTGGTTGTACACCTCCACTTCCAACCCTTGCTCCATCTTCTTGTTGTCTCCTTTCACGTAAACCTTTCGCTGCATTCATTGGCGAGAAAATCAGTGTGGTTAAACTATTGAGCTCATCAGTTCAATCAGGCCGTATTTGAAATATATTTGATCTCATATTTGAAAAAAAAAATTATGTAAAAAGCAAAAGATGTACCGTCCTATTATAATTTTTATTATCAATCTTGTCTCTGTTGGTAGCTGTAGAGCATTCTCCCTCTTTTTTTCGAACCCCCTTCATATACCCACTGGAACGGACCGAGATGCTCTTGGGCAGACTGACCCGACTCGAATCCATCACGCTGGTGGGGCTCTTCTCGCTCGTCCCCTCCTCCTCCACCGAGCCTAGGTCCAGACCACTGTACGGGGTCGCGTCGAGCAGCCACTTCAAGCGGTTGTTGAAATCAAGGTTGGCCATTTTCAGATTGACATTCTCCTGGCGGAGGTCCTGCACCAGCCTGACCACGTCTCGGAAGTGGGAGAGGATCGTCTGGTAGCGGCTCATCAGGTCCTGATACCGCTGCTTCTGGATTTGGGACCAGTAGCCCGCGTTCGAGCCCTCGGAAGGGGATACGGAGGAGCCGGCGCCGCTTAGATAATTATCCACAACAAACGAGTCTCGATTTGGCGGGAGAATCGACGAGTACAACAGCGACGTGGAGAAATCGTCTTCGTCCGCGAACGGCCATGCTGAGGTGGAGGCGGCGGAATTCTCCTGGCCGGAGAAATTGATTTCTCTCTGCATCGTCTGCTGAGATTTGAGAGAGGGCGAGTGAGTGGGAAGAAGATGAGAGGTCCATTTATATGTATATATGCGTGTTTTGTTTGTGCCTCCTGGAAAGAAGCAGGCAGGGGTAATATGGGGATATGATTCTCACTTGCCATTGAAAAAGATAGCTATAGCTTTTTTTTTTCGGTACAATGAAGATAGCTATAGCTTTAGCTGTTGGAAGATTGGGTTTGGAATATTGGATTCAACCTGCAATCTGCATGGTCATAGCTTTTTTGCTTCGAAGGGTATTTTCGTCAATATCGTTAATACACAGCTGTCGGAACTGAATTTCGTGGGAACGGGATCATTGTACAAATCTACACATTTTTAGCTTTTACACATTCCATAATAAGATGATTTGATAAAAATAATTCATGTTTTCTAGTAAGCAAAATTGTAATTTTAGTCGTGTTGATTTGATCCAGTGGCGTTTTAGTCTTAAGAAATGAACATTTTTTGCTTTTTGGTCCTATGATATTATAATTCAACGCAATTTCAGTCTTTTGGGACTGAAAATGCAACAAAATTTAAAATTACAAGACTTAAATTGCTAATAAAAAATCTTTTAGATGAATTTTTTATTAGCATTTTAAGTCCTGTAATTTTAAATTTTGTTGCAGTACTTTTAGTCTCAAATGACTGAAATCGCAGCAAAATACTAAATTACAGGATCAAAAGACAATCACAAGTTGAAATCTTGAGAATAAAAATGTTACAGCAATAAACCAACAAGACAAAAAATACAGTTTTGCCTTTCTAATACGTTTTGTAATCAATAATAGTTTGCTTGATTCTGTACGATTCATATGTCCGTCTGCTTAACATAAATATCATCGTGATTTTTAGACTTCTCGTAATTCGTTATCCGACAAATTTCCTCAAATAACAACAAAAAGATGCAATTAGATAAGCAAAGAAAAGGAAGAGGATAACTTCACATCAGAAATGTGGGTTTAATCAGAAGATCCAATCATTATTTGGTTTCATATGTCTTACTCCACAAACTGCAGTTAGTTGGAGTAAAGGTGGTGTGCCCAGATTAACAACACACATCTTGCAGTTAGTGAAATAGCCAATTCATTGATTGCCTTTAAAAATTTGCTTGTTTTGGAAGTTTTTGTGCAGCATGAAGCTGTTGGTAGACTTGCAACTTTTTCTTTCTTTTGAGTTCCATTTTGTTTACCAAAGAAAAAGTACATTTAAGAGAAGGGCCATTTGAGATGATAAAAATCATTGATTATTTTCCAAGGACTTTGCTTCTTTGGCACAACATTTAGTTGATTCATTTGTGTATATACTATACAAATATAACAAAAAAATAAAAAATAAAATAAAAAAAAAGGTTTGGTGAGAACAGGCCATGATCCCATTTTGACCAACACAAATCCTTGTTAATATGTCATGGTTTGTTAAGTTACTAGCAGGCCATCTTCAAATTACTTCTCAACTGAACTTCACATAGAAGTTTTATCTTCTCTAGCAATATCAGTGAAAAAATTGTCAGGTGAGTAGAGTGCGCAACGTGTGTAAGAACACAAATATAAGCAGAAGCGAAAATTAACAAATTTATCTTTGGGGAGCGTCTCATTACCCCTCAAAGCTCTTTCATTAGCAAATCAGTTGCCTCCCACATTATATAGTTTGAAATTACAAATAAAAGACTGATACTGCTAACTACTTTCCTGGCCATAGCGTGGACTACCTGCTATTACAGGAATCCCTCCGAGTAGGGAATACTCAAAAGTACAACGGTCCTATGTTTCACTCCTTCCGAGATGTAGGAACGTAAAACTGAATTTCTGAACTCACGAGCTATAAAAAAAGTATAATCAACAATCTCACGAACTTTCAAATAATAGAGTAACTCAATATGCTTAAAAAAAGAACAATAAAACTTAGCACTTATCTCCAGATTTTGTGATCTAATGTAAATCGATCGAGAACATATAATCCTAACTCGATAAGAACACCTTAGGTAGGCATGATTTTCTGCATCCTTCCCTTAGAGTAAGTTTTCTTCAACTAAAATCCGTATATGTGATTTGGAGATCTTCAAAATCGCGTTTAAAACACCGTGCAGGAACATGACTTTCTTTTAATAATCGATCTTGCAAATCTAAAAGGTCATGTGGTGAATCTTTTTAAATCCTCCTTAGATCTTCTCCAAAACATCCAAAATCCTTTATGTGTGGATAGCTCATCTTTTTATAGTCTCTGCCACATATTTTTGTACTACAAGAAATAGAAAGTTAATTATGGTAAAATTTCAATTCACTAATGCAAGCAACACATATGGTAAGTGAATAAATATATAAAATATATATTATGTATTTATTCTCCTAAAATATTATGACTCCACTATATATACTATAATAAAAATATACCATGTATTGTTAACAACAAATACTAAGAACTTAACTAATTCACAAGTAAATAAATAGAAAATTTCATTTTAATTTATTTTGTTTGTCAAATAAGAAAATCTTCTAGAAAACACTTAAGGTTGTCGTACGATGTCAAGCCAATATTTTAACAAGTTGTATGTGTACTATTGTGCCTTTTACCATCTAATCTCGTATTGATCTGTTTACATTAGTTCCTGCCTGAATTCAACAGATCATGTATCACTTCTTAAAAACAATTGGTAGATATTCGTTCACCCAACAGATATAGAATACCATACCAGGTCGTGTACGACCTAAAGAGTGGTACGATCAGATCAGGTGAACCAGTAGGTCGGCCAGACATCAAGGACACTGGAGGTCGAGGAATCACCAGGTCGATCGTTACCTCACATGTAAGAGAACTAGCCACAGGTCGAGTTATGGCTCTTGACAAGCCTGATAGAAACTCGACCTGGAGGTCTGCGGGTCGATGTAAGACCTAAGAGATAGGCTTATCCACAAAAAGTCGGAGCAACTTAGTCCAAAGGAATCTGAGCTGGTAACACAAGTAGACTATCTAATTAGAAACACACTACATAATATATAAGAAGGAATATATTATGATAAAAATGACATATGGATAAGAGCACGTGGCTTAATTGAATTTTGCAGTTTGGGCACTCGTGCAGTGCGAATGGATAGCTCGGGCACTCGAGTTGTCCAGTCGGCAATCTTGGGCAGCAATGTAACATCCCTATATAATGGGATGAGGTATGATCATTTAGGCTCTACACACTCTAATATACATACAACTATATAAACTTCATATTGTTCATCACTTTCTGCATCATTGTTCAGTGACTTGAGAGTCGGAACTTCTACGCCAAGACAACTCGCCCCGTTTTTTGTAGTTGGAGCCTTGATGACAAAAATTTGGCATGCATAAGGCATTCGAATGAACACCCTCAGAGGTAAGTCAAGCGAGTGTTGGCATCATCACATCAAGCACGTAATCACATATGCCATAGTGGTGGATTATACTACTCGTGCAAAACCGATATATATATATACATATATATATATATATAATCCAGTTTATGATTGTGCTTGAACATACATAATTCACGTAAGTCTTAAAAAGGAGACAAAACAAAAGCAAGGAGAAAAACAAAGATGCACAAAAAAAACAAACATAAATACAAAAAACACAAAATTAAGAGAAACACGTAAAAAGATCAACACCAAAACTAAATATCCTACTTGCTTTCCCCGGCAACGGCGCCAATTTTGTTGTAGCAAAATATTTTTTTTTTACCGAGTACGGAATCGAAAGATTCATTCCACGGGTCGATCTCTCGAGGAAGGCGGTTCAGAATTTAGCTTTGGTATTGATTACACACAAAAAAAAATTAAATTCTAAACACTCTAGCTAACCAGATTGAGGTTTGAATGAATTATAACTAAGAAATACTATAAAACATGAATCTACCTAAAAATATAAATGATACAAAGATAAAGAAGCTAGTGAGTCGGGGATGATGATTCTCAAACCAATGTAAATATCATGCTATGATCATTCGGTTAAATGATTTGAACAACCTAACGTCTAGAGATAGTCCTCAATAACTCTTCGTAACATGATGGAAACATAGACGGTAAATCAAAAAAATCAGACGACACATAGGCAATACGTTTTCGAACAAGTATACTTCATGTGAGCCTAGATCGATCAACTAAGAGTTGATTAAATTATCCTAGACGATTGTTAATCTATTAGTCGTAATATTTAAAAACATCACACAAAAAGGAATCATGTTCAATTGGAAATCAATTGCAAATCGAAGTGTCACTCTTTGACAATATTCAACATTCAATGTACGAGAATTATAAACCCAAGTTAAGAACAACTCGCATAAATTAAATGATCAACAAGCATGATAATCGCAATTAAATTCTAAATATCATCATCATCCCCTATCCCTAGCGAACAAATTAGTTACTCATATGAAAGTCAACACAAACATTCTTCTCAACCTAAGCATTCATATTCAAGAATTATATGAAAAGAATGACTTACGATTAATATAGAAACGAGAGTCAAATCCGATGAACAATTTAATCCAGAAAAGTAAAGAGAGAATTGAGCAAAAAGAACGAAAAGAATCCGAGTTTTAGAGTAGGAGAAAGTGAAAAAACGATAATGGGAATTATTCTCACGAGATTGGGGGTCGTCACAATATATAGAGCTCGAAAAAACGGATTAAAAACGAGTAAACACGAGCAAAAATAAAAATCGGGGTCGGCCCGATCGCAACTCGCGATTGACTCGCGAGTCGGCCCGATCGTAGGGTTGGCAGCAGGGCACGTCCGCGCTGGGGCGCGCGCCCGCTCGGAGAGCAGGTCATGGGTCGCAGGCAGTTGGACGTCCTTCTCTGTTTTTTTCGCGGGTCGCGACCCTGAAGTAGCGGGTCGCTGCTCGGACTGCACTGCACCATTTTACGTTTGGGCCTCGTTTGAGCTCGTTCGAACTCGGAATTGAGTTTCGTTTTTTTCTACGCGTCGCTAACAAAACCATCTACTCAATTATTT